TGGTATGGAAGCTCATTTGGGCTAATCTCACTAAACCTAAAGTGCGAGCATTCGTTTAGAGAGTTGTGTTTGGTAGGATTCTAGTACGGGTAGAGTTTGTCAAAAGAGGTGTTAATGTTGCTTCTCAGATCTGTGTTTTATGCCAAAAAGAAGAAAAGACTACGATCCACAAGTTTTTTCATTGTTCGGTAGTTTAGAGGACCTGCTTAGATGGTATGCATGCTGGAATCTCAACTTTGGTTGCCCAGGTAACGTTAAATCGTTTTTGTTGTCTTGGAACTCCCTGCCCATTATGAATGCTCATAATCAGATATAAAATATGGTTTTTTTTTATTTCTTTTGGTAGATATGTAGTTGTAGGAACGATGTTACGTTCAACAACAAAAGGTGGAGTGAAAAACAATTATTCGAGTCTGTAACACTGAGAATTGGATTTTGGTGTAAATGTAAATGTCACAGCTCTGTTAATCTATTGTTGACTCTATTAACCTCCTTAACACATGCACCTCCTTCCGTAGATTATAGTTAATTGTAATATGTGATGTTATTATCCTTTTTATGGATAATTTAGGGTGCGCTTTCTATTTTGGGTCTGGTGATGACTTTGCTATGTTGTGTTGGACTATTCTTAGTGCTGGGGTTGAGAGTTGTTGTTTAGTGGTATCTCATAGGGAAAAGTTTTTGGAGACTAACTGATGGATGAGAAGGTGAAATATTGTGATAATTATGTTGTTGGATTCGATTATTGGATCAGGATAGTCGAGGCGAGGGTGTTTGGATCTCGGGTTATTCCAGCTTATATTCTTTTCTGGTTCATTCTATTTGGTGTTATGTGGGTGTGATTATCGTGAAAGGAGATAGTTTTGTTGGTCCTATCTACTATGGAGTGAGTTATTCAGGTGGGATGCGGATTGCTTTAATCAGTCTAGAGGTCAAGGCCTGATATGTGGGGACTGCTCTTTATATTTGGTTTGTTATTGAGTGAAGGCTGATCTGATCGATTGGGTTTATGTGTTCAAATAAATTGAGCTGTTGGCTTAAGTTCTCGTCAACAATGAGTGTTGGAGATTCGTTGACTTACCTGAGTGTGGTTGTTGGGTGGTGATGTGTGGTATGGTTGCAACTTGGTGTATGTCATTTTGATCACACACAACTTACATGCGCATAGGGAAAGAGGACAAGACCCTTTTGGATCAAGAAGTAGTGAGTATCTGTTAGATAATTTGTGATAGAGTGTTCTTCGAATTTGTGTGTGAAATGTGTTATTGGATCTTACTAATTATGACATTGTTGTGATCACTATTTTTTCTCCAATTGGGTGTAGGGAGGTTTTTTAACTAGGCTTGTATGTATGCTCGTCAATTACATGCAAAATAAACCCTTTACAAAAGCAAGACATATATTAAAAGGATCTAAATAAGATTCCATTAGTAAAATATATCTATTGAGTATCCTAGTGATTGTAAGATTGTCAAAATTTGAATAAAAATATTTATCCTTCAAAGAAAAGAAAATAAATCTTGGTCTGAAATTATCGAACCTTGGCCTATAGTCATTATATCTTAGATGGTTTAGAAGCACCATATCTTAGTTGATCCAAAATTACTATTAAGTGATACAAGATCATTATATTTAGAACATCAAAATATTATTCTATGTATATATAAATCATGTCGAACTAATTATTGTGCACGATGCAAGTCAAGATGTATTTGACTAAGATTATTGACCCAACACATATAAAAGATATGTGCTTTATTTCAAAATGATAATACATCAATTATCTTATATGAAGATAATGCATGATGAATAACTCAAATGAAAGAATGATACATCAAAGGAAACATATTTCCCTAAAGTTTTTTCACTCATGATTTTTAAAATAATAATAAAGAATTTGTTTAAATGATAATTTGGAAGTTTTGTTCACTAATGTATTATCTATTTCAAATGTTGAATGTTTAGGATTAAATTGTAAATACTTAAAGATTTTAAGTGATATTGTAATGAAGGAGAGTAAATACACATTGAACTCTTTTTTCCTTAACTGATGTTTATCCCAATGATTTTTCATGTTAAGATTTTTAATGAGAGAACGTGTTTATGCGTATCAAATATACTTGTTTTTTTTTTTTTTGATTATTTTTCCCCGAGATTTCATCTTAACAATGTTTTGACTAGACATATTATCTTCATAGACATTTAAGGGTAGTGTTATGAATATTTATTTATGTAGATGTCTATTATGATTATAAAACTATGTGTTAAATATAACTTTGATATATTTTATTATTATAATTTTAATATCCATTAGAATTATAGTTCTATATGATATCTAATTTTTGTGCCTATAAATATAGAGTTTTAAAAAAATATTATATATAATTTTATATTAAAATAATAATGCAAAATTTTCTCCACATTTTTCTTTCTCTTCTCATTTTTATTTTTTTATTGTTTCATTCATTCTATCTTATAACAGAAGTATTATCATCACGTTCAATATTGGTGGGAAAATATTTTATAAGTAGGATATGTATCCCATTTAATTAGAGATGGAATTAATAGGCCGTAACAATGTTTTATATTTCCTTAAGAAATAATACAATTATGTATAATTTAGTGAATGAGTCTACAACGCACGTTAAGTACAATAACACACTTTTATAACGATGTATCAAAACACATGTCTAATTAATTGTTTTATTAAATTATTATTAAGATGATAAATTATATGTTTAGTACCTACATTATTATTTGTATTTCATTTTAGTTTTAAACTTTTTTTTTTCAAAACTATTAACGAATACTAATGTGACGTGATATGTCAATTTTTTTAAAATTTTCATATCACCTTTCTATTTTTCCATTAACATTTTTAATTAATTTCATTCAAACATTTGAAAGGTGACATGTGTAACCTTCTAAGGGATAAAATAATAAAAAGTATTCTTGCATGAAATGCATAGCAATCAACATTGAGTTAAACTAGTAATTTAAGTTAATTTTACCATATTTTGTATTTAACTTATATAATAGTATCATCACAAAATCCTTATTTTTTATGATTATAAAAGTCAAATATGTGTCACTTTAAATTAATGATCTAAAGCTTAGTAATTCAACTATAATGCAAATTTATTTTTATTATGTCAAACTTAATACTTACTTATATCATAATTAAATTAAAGAACAAATTTTCACTTTATTTGGAAATACAAATAATTATATATATATTTATTTATTTATAAAAAATTTATTAAACTATTCTAAAAAGTATAATATTATGAAATTATTTTAAAATATTAATTTAATTTTTAAAATAATATTTTTTTAATTATTTGAAATAATTATTTAATCATTTATTTTAAATAATAATAATTATTTATTTTGAATAATATTATTTTTAAATAGTTAATTTTTTAAATTTTAAAGAAAGTAAAAAAATTAGTCTTTTAATTTAATATTGAATAAGTATTATGTTCAGTATAATAAAAGAAATCACACTATAGTTAAATGACTAAACTTTCAGTGATTAATTTAAAGTGTCTTACATTTGAATCTTATAATCATTGAAAAATATTGATTTTGTGGTGATATTGTTATATAAGTTAAATACAAAAAGTGATGAAATTTAACTAAATGAATAGTTTAGCTCAATGGTTGAAATATTTGTTTCTCTTGTAAAAGATCCAAGTTCAATTTATACTAGAAGCAATAATATTTCTATCATTCTATCCCCATTGGTGGTGATATGGTTCTGACACGTGTCATTAAGTAATTGATTAAATAAAATTAATTAAAAATATTACAAATAAAGAAGAATGTGATGTGGTAATTAAAAAAATTGACATATTATGTCACATAAGTATTATCTTTAATGGTTTTAAAAAAATAAAACTTAGTACTAAAACTAAATAAAAGTGATAATTTAAGTAATTTATCCTTTTAGTATTTACTTAATAAAGATAATTTAATTAATGATATGTTTCAATATATCGTTTTAGTGGTATGTTATAATATACGAGCTGTAGAATTTTTTGATGAATATTAGACATTAACCTCTAATATTTCTGAATTAATTCCAATCATTATTTAATGAAAAAATTAGTTCTGTCTTTGCATTTAGTTTGTTTTTAGATTTTTACATGTGTCATTATCTCGACACTCTTCATAGACAATATACGATAAAACAAACATTTTAAAAATAGAAATTAAAATAACAAGAAAAGTCTAACCCAGTTGCATCCATTTTCAGTGAAAATATTGTTTCCAGAAAAGACACGTGTTTTATTTGTTTGTTGATAAAAAAAACTAAATTAAAGAACTCATAATTGAATTTTAATATTTAAAATAAGTGTTTAAACAAACTCAAACATAGTTAGTTACGTTCAATTAAAGTACTTTAGAAAAATTAAGCCTTGCATAAAAATAAATTAGAGATTCAATAAAATATGAACTTGTAGGGAAAATATCTTGGATTCTTCTAAACGGAAAACCAATTTTTTTACAGGTTGACTAAAATACCCTTTCCCACCAAAACCACAAATTCCAGAAGCCGAGCCACGCCAACGGAACGCAAAAGCTAACCTAAAACGAAAAGAAAAGTCACAAAGGGCTGTGATTGACTAGGATCATGGGTCCCTTTCTGACCGGACCTCAAACACGGACTTCAAATCCTTTTAATAAAATCTGAATTGGAAACTTGTCTCGGGAATCCTACTTTTTTCTAATTAAGATAATAATTAAAAAAAACGAAGCAAGAGCCCCGTGATGACCTAAGATCTTGCATCCCCACGCGCCTGCGCCTGCGTGTCCATCGTCTTTCTCTCTCTCTGGTCGCATTATATAAACTCCTGCCCCCCCCACTCTCTCTCCACGATTAACTTGTTCATTAGCGTTTGTTTGTTCCAAAAGCTCTCTAAGATACACGGCGAATAATCGATATACCTGAACTTTTTCGTCGTTCAGTGATTTTTCATTATTGTTTGCTCGTTTTCATGGATGAGTTTAACAGTGAGAAGCGAGTTAGAGATGACTCGAACGGCTCGGATCTGGATCCACCCGAGGTGAAGAGACTCAGGGATGATTTCCTAGATTTTCTTGACGAATCGGATTCTTTGCCTGTTAATCAAGACCTTGCATCGGTAATGAAGAGTTTCGAAGAGGAGATATCTGCTGCGCTGTCTACTTCGGCGGAATCGGTGGTGGTTGTTGATTCGACTTCCGATTCCGGCGCGTCACAGCCGGATCTCGGTTATCTTTTCGGTGCTTCCGACGACGAGCTTGGTCTGCCTCCTACTGCTTCTACAACCGGCGGTGAAGAAATATCCGAAGTAACGGATCTGGCACCAGTCGAGTCACACTCGCCTGGAATAGGTAATTTGTGGGGGTTTGAGGTGCCGAGCCCGGGCTATGATTCCTTTGAGTTTGGATTCTATGATAATTACAATGACCATATTTCTTATGATGGATTGTTCGAGGACGCCGATGTTTATTATGACTCCTCCGATATTTCCGCTCATTTATGGCGGCCGGAACCTCTGTCGGCGGAGTAAAACTTCTGAACGTAAATCTTGAAAAATCAAGCGAGCGAAATACAAGGCTTAGCCGATATGTAAATTGTTTGCCCGTCTTAGAAATTTTTTTATTAAAAGATAAAATTTGGTTTAGAAATTTGAACGGAAAGATGCTTAGGCGTATTATCAAAGCACAATATTAGTTGAAGTTTTTGTTGTTAGTGTGCGATGGGATTCAATTTGGAAATATACGCCTAAAAAAATTCTATTGAAAATATTATTAGTTGCTATTAGTTTTTTATTATTAGGTGTTTTAACGGATTTAATAAAAATATCGAAAATGTTAATAGATATTATAAATTTTATTATTGTTAGATATTTTTATAAAATTGTAAAAAATATGATGTTTTAAATAAAAATAATAATTTTTTAAATAATTTTTTAAATAATTTTTTTATTAATTTTATTATTTAAATAATAATAAAATTTATAGTATTTTATTTTAATCTTATATTAAAATGTTAAAACTTCCCCCATTCAATTTCCATGACGTTTTGCACCAACTTGATCGTTGTTGGCCACTGAAGGAACGTGTTATGTCCGCTTTAGGCGTTTCTTTTCCATATATGACTCGGATTTCTACCGCTAAACGATTATATTTGCCGGGTCTAATTAATTTAATATTTATGTTCAGGAAAAGTAAAATAAAAGGTAAAAACTATTTATCACTAAAATATTTTATCACTTATTTTTTAATTTTGTTAATCATTATTAATCTATTTAATTTTTTTAAATAAGTCATTGACCATTAGCATTTATAGATTAAGTGATGTAGTAATTAAATATTTTATTATAATTATATTTTAGTTACTGTTATGTATATATTTTCTCATTTTAATCTTATTATTAATAAATTAAATATAATTTAATAAATTTAATAATGTGTTATTATTTAATTAGAAGATTAGATTAATTTTAATTTAATATATTTATTTTTAACCAATTAAAGGTTCACATGTGTCACCTGAACGAAAAGAAACCAATTAAATTCGGGGAAGGGGGAATCAAAACTGGGACGCACGGGTAATCAGCCAAACACCAACCACCAAGCCTAAGCCGCTGTTTGGTTTCAGTTTACAACTTTATTTATATATTTGTATGTTATTGTAACCCTTTAGTTTCAAGGAATTAAATCATGCAAAATGAGATATATTTTAAGATTGACAACTTCTTTTATCTTTATTTGAAAATATCTAATATATATATATATATATATTACCTCTTACTTTAACTATTAAATATATGTTAAAAATATTATTAAATTAAGAATTAAAATAAAATATAATTTTTGAATTTAAGATAAAAATATATATATATATATATATTAAGTTAAGTTAAAAATAAAACATATATTTTTAAGTTAAAATAAAAATAAAATATACATTTTTAAGTTCTGATAAGAATAAAATAAAATATATTAAATAATTTAAAATAAAAATATAATATATTTAATAAATTAAGATAAAATATATACTTTAAAAAGTTAAAATAATAATAAAATATATTTTTAAAATTTTATATGAGAATAAAATATATTTTATAAAATTAAAATAATAGTATAATAGAATTTTAATTAAATCAAGATTAAAATATATTTAATAAGCTAAAGATAAAAAATTAAATATTCTTTTGAAGTTAATATATATAAAATATTAAAGTATTTATAAATTACAGTAGAAGTTATATAAAAAAAGTTGTAAGTTGAACACAAGCAGTAGCCTTGGCTTGATTTTGGTGTTTGGCTGATTACCTTTACCTTTCTGTTTCGATTCCCCTTCCCTACTCCCAATTTTATTTCTTTGTTTTCATTTATCAGAGTGTGACATCATCTGATTGTTAAAAATAAATATATTGAATTAAAGTAAATCAAAATAAATCTAATCTTTTAATTGAACGGTGGCATACGACACTATTTGATTGTTTTCTTTTGATCATAGGGTGACACATGATACCATCTGATTGGTTAAAAATAAATATATTGAATTAAAGTAAATTAAAATAAATCCAATCTTCTAATTGAATGGTGACGTGTGTCTGATACTATTTGATTCAATTATTAAATTTATTAAATTTTATTTAATTTATTAATAGTAGGACTAAACTGGAAGAATATGTAAATAACAGTGATCAAATATGTAATTATACCAAAATATTTAATTGCCACATCACTTAATCTGTTAAATGTTAACGACAGTGGCTTGATTGAGAAAAATTAAATAGTTTAGATAAAATTGAAAGATTGGTGGTAAAAGTAAAAGAGTTAAATAGTTGAGTGGTCAATGTTATAGTTTACCCCATAAATTCCTTATTTAATGTTAAAAAATATGTATAGAAACCAAATTGTATCATGATAAAAGAATTGTTATTATTTTTTTAAGTTTCAGGATTGAGTATCATTAATGTAAGGAGTCTGTGAGTTCAAAATAGAAGGTTGAGAGTTATCTTTAAATAGTTATTACCTTATACTTATCTCATATTGATAAAAAAATTTAAAAAAATGTTTAAAAATGAAAATAAGATACAATGGAAAATATGATAAAAATGAGGTATAATAACAAAATTATCCCTAAAATTTGCACAAATGATTATTGTATTTTTTTTGACTATTTTACTTCCAATGTTTCATTTTGGTGTAAAATGACTTTTGATATGATGAAAATTATTAGTTGACTAACAATTTATGCTTTCTATTGATGTGGTAATTCACATGTCACATCAGTAAAAATTATTTTTAGAGTAAATTATAATTAATTACATATATACTTATAAAAGCATATTTAAAAACAATTTAAAAATAACTTTTGATAACATAACATTACATGTAGACCTATCACATTAATAGTAAACATTGACTATTAGTTAATTAACAAATTCCATCTGGTGAGGGGATATTTTGCTCCAAAATAAAATAAAGTGACAATTTATGCAAATGTTGGAGGTAATTTTGTCATTATACCTAAAAAATTATACTTCTTTATTTTATAATTTATATCTTATATTGATTATCCACATAATTTTAAGAGACAAATAAAAAACGATAAAATTATCTCTAAAAGATGATTCATATATTTTGGTATATTTGTTTTCATATGTGTAAAAGAGTGGAACATACAAAAATAAAAATGAAATGTAAATTTTGTTGTTTGCTTACTTTTCTAATAATATATTTTAAGTAAGAAAATTTTAAAAATCAAAAGAGGCATTTTTAATGGATCAGAACAATTTTGGTCTCAATTGAAGAAAATCATTACCCTTTTACCAGTCGTCTTGACTTTGAATATACCAATAACTTGACTGAATATGATGTATGTATTATGGAAATTTAAGCAATTATCGAACAAAAAATAAAAGTTTTAGAAGTTTTTGAGGTCTCTGTGTTAGCCATTTATTAGTTTTTAGGAGAGTGGATGATGAGAGAATCTAAATTGGTGGATTATAAATTTTTCCATGAAAATTATTAAAGAATCTAATGAAATCACTTTCACTTATCTACCACATAAAGAAAGTTAAATGGATGATGCTCTGGCTACGTTAGCTTCAATGTTCAAGATCAATGGTCAATCCCAAATAATGTATATCTGAATGAGTATAAGAGAAGCTCGAGCTCATTGTTGCAAGATTGAGGATGAGAAGGATGATGGTCTATCGTGGTACTATGACATTCTTCAATATGTAAAGATTAAAACTTACCCATCGAAGCTACTGAAAAATGACAAATGAACCCTGAGAACATTGGTCACAAGATATGTGCTCGATAGATAGATCTTGTACAAAAAAGGAAAAAGGTCAGAATTATTGAGATGTGTTGTCAAAGTTAAAGGCAATAAAGTACTTGAAGAAGTTCACAAAGGAGTTTGTAGAACGCATGCCAACAATTTCATGATGGTCATATAGATTATGAGGTTTGGGTGTTATTAGTCAATGGTGGAAGGGGATTGTATTAGTTATGCTCATAAATTTCACAAATGTCATATCTATGGTGACATGATACATGTACCTCCATCATCACTGCACGTAATGACTGCACCTTAGTCGTTTTCAATGTGAGGCATGGATGTCATAGGACAAATCTCACCAAAATTCTTTAATGGTCATCGATTCATTTTTGTGGTCATTGATTTTTTTTTCACCAAATGGGTTGAAGCATCATCATATGCCAGTGTCACAAAATAAGCAGTGAGTATATTCTTGAAAAAAGGAGATCATCTGTAGATACGGGATGCCAGAGAGAATCATGTTAGACAATTCCTTGAATATGAACTGTCACAACATCCTAAAAAAATGAGAGGTTATTTTTTAGGGGTTTTGTTTCGACTAAAATTGAGTTTTAAAAATAAAACGTAGTTCAAGGAAGTAACCACCAATATTTGTTTAGGATGTGATTGGATCACCCAAAATTGTTTTGTTATTTTAATAAAATCTTGATTTTAAAATTTATTAAAATAACCTTTTGGTCTGTTTTTCTAAAAAACGAGTTCGGGAGTCGATTAAGTGTGGGGAAGGGTTAGCACCCCCCACAATGCCCGAAAATCGGTACATAGTCAATTAATTATTGTATTTGCAATGAAATTTATGGATTCAAATATCAATTTAATTAATGATCCCCTTTTAGTTAAATAAATACCATGATATTTAAAATTCAAGAGAGAAGGTTAATGATTTGTGCATTTAACTAGGGAAAGAAGGTTAATGATTTGTGCATTTAACTAGGGAAAGTTACCACCTTATACGAAGTAGAACGATGTCCCTTTCATTTCCAATTAAATTGATGAATCACTAATGTTTTCCTTGAAAATTTTAATTTTTATTTAATGTTTTGAATCGAAAGGTAACCACCACCTAATATAAGGTAGAATGATGATTTCCTATATTTAGAAAGAAACAAGAAAAATCTCATTCATGGTATTTATTTGCCTAAATTTGTGTAACAAACCAAATTTTATTAATAGAATTATCAGACCTTTAAAATAGATACATAA